GCCATTGCCCAGGACGTGATACTGCACCTTACTTTCTGCCTTTCAGAAGAAACCTATTGATTCGCTGTGTTGGAAGCCACAAGAACAGCCAGCAACACATCAATCTGGACGCAAGATTGGCCTGGGCCACACATCGTCCTGTGCAAACTGAACTGAACTGAACTGAACTGATCTCCGATTAGGCCTACCCGCTAAAATGACGAGGAGCGGTGGTTCGTCATCTCCGGTGCCACACTCCAAGTCTAGGTCTGATCGTCCCAGGAAAAGGTTGGGAACAATTTTTTTGCCTCCGTTACATTGTTCCAATGATAAATAATATTTTCTTCCTTTAAGAAGTTCCAATGCACAACTTCGTGTCACCGGAGAATAAGTACGGTTTGTTGCTTTCAGTTGAATGCATCGAAAGAAATAATGACTTGGGAAACGGTCTTTTTCAGGCAACGAAAGTCAAGCAGTGATGTTAGTCGCGAGAGTTCGTCTGCATCTACATCTTTGGACGAGTCCACCAAACGACAATCGAAAACGGAGGAATCTCGTCGTCGTGAAGAGCAGCGAGCCGAAGAAGATCGGTTACTGTAAGTCAATTTGTTTTTCACTTTGAAATGTTCAAATATATGGTTTCAAATTGGTTTTCGTTCATATTCTTCAGCTCGCTATGTTCAAAGTTCACTTCGTTCTCGCAACAGTGAAATTCAAATTTGGCAACGGCCAGTGAAGTTTGTTTCACTTTATTTGTTCACACGATGCTGCTGATGATGATATTCTCGCAACAAAAGGCGCGTCCACGATAACATTGGATTCGCCCCACTTTAGTTGCAGGTTATATTCATGAATCCCTTGCAAATTGGGGTCTCACGGTTGTGCAGCGTACGGGATTAGTATTGGTCTACCTTGAACAAGTTATCAAAATAGTAATCACGGTAAAAACAGGGACACCGGGAGACCTACAGTCGGCACGCGTTGTGTCAGGTATGCAAAACGATGAGGGGAAAATTAAGTCCAGCTTTCGTCCATAACCTCAGTGGGGGGGGGGGTGCGTGTCTAGAGTTGCGGCTGGTCACCCTACCCTTGCACCTCGTGAAACGCTCCCATATTACCAAGCGGCTCGAACGGCCTCTGTTGAGGAAGCCCTACTCACTGCCCTCTCGTGGCGGAGTTGTTTCCCACCAAAGTGAGGACGAAAAACCAACATCCGGGTTGGTGGACAACTCGGAGTTCACCCAGGGGAGTTGGCTAAAACCCTGATTGCAAACCAACCAAGAGGAGGCGTACGAACCAGACCCACACTTTCTCGGTTGTGGCAGTGGTCACCGGCTCGATTGGGCATTGAGGTGTATTGGGCACCTTGGACGTTTGACCCCGTCCAAAGGGCATATGATCCGATGAAATAGACACCGACTCCCAATGGATTGCGGTTTCGGGCACACCACCCAGCTGCGTTTTGGTGGTCAGGCTTTGGTTAGCCAAAGGCTCTGGTTGTGGATTCCCCAAGAAAATTCACCTGGCTTGGCCTGGGCAACCTGGCAGTACTCCGCCCACATGGTACCATGGAACATTCTTATTATTATAAAGATTATTGT